AAATTAGGCTGCATGAGGGCTCCTTTAGATATGAACGTAGATACCGGTGTACAAAGAGACTGTTCCTCTTCAGCCTCATAGAGAAGTTTAAAATTCACACCCAAGGCCTTAGGGCATGAAGTGTGGCATCTCTTCTCCAGGTGGTTAACTTAATGTTACTGTTGTGCCTTAAGGGGCCTGGGAGCCTTTTTTCCCCCTTCAGTGGGGCTTTCTGAGACCCATAACACCCTGAAGGCTCTACAGAGATTTCCCATCAGAGGCACTGAACTGATTTAGCTTGTCAGTCAGGGTGCTGTACTTCTGCCCAGTCGTCCCAAGAAGGTTGTTGGTTCAAGCTAGGTTGTTGGTTTAAACTAGAGTGGATGTTAAATAGTTCCCAGGCCATGCACGAGTGATCCATAACTAGATCTTTCCTTCCTTTCTTGAGTGGTTTCTTCCAGATCAGCCATTTTGATATTTGTCCTACCCAGGCTCAGGCTGTTGACTCCTAAATAGAAGAAAATGCTTAAAACATTTAGGCAGTTTTCTGCTAGATGAGTAATCTCCTACACTTTTTGAAAATGGCTTCCTTCAGGAAATTTGAGTATTGGGCTCATACTATCTTAATTTATGTTGAGAAACCAAAATGAGCACAAACACAAAAAAGCCCGTAACAGCATCCATCTGTAGTAATTTTGGCCATGGAAAATATTTAGGAGGTACATTGTGATACTTTTCTTTTGCGGGGTTTCAGTTTTCCTGAGAACGTTTCAGATCCTTGTCCAGTTCTTTACAATCTGTGCACAGATCACAGACTAGAGATGGCCACGATCAAAGAACTGTGAAGCCAATTTTTTGAGCCTAAGGAAGCTTAACCCTTGTTGTTAGCTAGCTAGTTTTTTCCGTGAAGAGCAGCTGTTCGTGCCGCATGGCAACCAGCGGCTTTTGGAACTGAGAGGCGTTTCAAAGGCTGTTTGCAATATGACATAGGAATCAGCTGCTTAAGAATGTTTTTTAATATGAAACTGGGCTGCTGCAAGAGCCTGTTGCTCTTTAGACACTCAGAAACTGAGAAGTAAGACAAGGTGGACCGCCAAGCCTTTAATTACGATGTAGCTGTTGGTAAGTTCAAATTCTGAACGGTTGTCCTCACTTCACAAGCCAAGCTTTCAGAAAACCTGAAGTGTATCTGTTGGCTGTCTTGGCTTCCCCTTATTGGTGGTTGACCGTACAGTGAGAGCCAATGTGGCATAGTGGTTAGAATGTCAGACTAGGATCCCAGTTTGAATCCCAGCTCTACCAATGGAAGTTTGCTGAGTGGTCTCTTAAGTCAGTCACACACACTCAGCCTCATCTACCTCTCAGGGTTGTTGTAAGGATAAGAGGAGAGGACAATTGTGTTAGTGTCTTTGGGTCCCCATTGGGGAAAAAGGCAGAGTATAAATGGACCTGTAGATTTCTGGTTTGCATACACACTTGTAACATTGCATTCCCTGTAATAAGCTGTAAAGGTAAAGGTAAAGGTTCCCTTGCTCGAAAGCCAGTCGAAGCCGACTCTAGGGTTGCGGTGCTCATCTCCGTTTCAAAGCCGAAGAGCCAGCGCTGTCCGAAGACGTTTCCGTGGTCATGTGGCCGGCATGACTAAACACCAAGGTGCATGGAACGCTGTTACCTTCCCACCGAAGTGGTCCCTGTTTATCTACTTGCAATTTCTTGCTTTCGAACTGCTAGGTTGGCAGGAGCTGGCACTAGAGATAGGAGCTCACCCTGTCTTGCGGCGCCCGGGTCTTGAACCGCTGAACTACTGACCTTCTACAGCCTGCAGTTCAGTGTCTTAACCACTTGAGCCACCGCAGCTCATAATAAGCTGTACAGAGGTGCATAACTGAAGAGAGAGCACAAGAGCATGAGCTGCTTTTGGCAGAGCGTAATCTTCTCACACATCCGTGCCCCAAGTTCCCCACTATGGTAGTGAAGTGTGGTGTATGAGATGCAGTTCTCTTTCATCCCGTTCCGTTCTTCCCATGCTTGCTCTGGTACATTAAGAACTTTGGTACAAGGTTTGGGATCCTTGCCACAACCCGAGAGAGAGAGAGGGAGAGAGAGAGAAATACCTAGCCATGGGTAGGTTGTATGGAACTTTTTCTGTGAATGATGGCACTCTCCTTCAGTATCAGGAGCCTTCCTCTGGTACATAGCTATAGGGGTGGGCACAGACCGGTTCGGTTTGGGGCTCGCGAGCCAGATGGCCCTGAACCAAGCCCCCGAGCATAAAAAACACTCGTACTGAACTGTCGGGTCCCTGGTGTGCCCATGTCATCCGGAAGTGATGCGCATTGTCCCCCAACGTGCTTGAGTCACTTCTGGATGACGTTGGGCCCTGCCCCGGCACACCCATGTCACCCAGAAGTGACATCAGCATGTCAGACAGCACCCTTGCACCACTTCCAGGTGATGCGGGTGTGCTGGGGGGTGGGGCCTGATGCCATCCTGAAGTGCCACGTGCACATCAGAGGGCTGAACCCCAAACCAAGCAGAAGCTCGGGTGAGTGTTCGGGGAAAGGCGCCGTTCGTGAACTCTGAACTTTGGCTTGGGTTCTGGTGTGTGCCCATCCTTACTATTTAATCAACGGTCACATAGCCCTGTTGTACTAATTCTGGTCTTGATTTATGCCTTCCATCCTAAGATGTTACCCATTGTTAGGAGATTAACAGTCTTCCTTATACAGTATTCTTATGTTTGAGAAATCAGACTGTGTTGTATGTAGAGAACACCTGACGATCTCCCAGTGCATTTAGCTCTTTTTTAATTTGCATATGGGAGGAATCTGGGGTGGATTCTACTTCAGCATCTCTTTGCTTGCTAGATGAT